AATTTATTACATGAGAATTAAGTGTGTATTTGTATTTAATTTTGTAAGATGAAAGTAAAAATAGGTGACTTTTGTTTTCTTAAATTAAGGTTTTCATGTGCAGCTGTCACCCAGGATAGCATCACATTTCAGTTCCATGGCACCCCACGTGTATGGGATGGAAAGACAATTAGAAGATTGATAACAGGCAATTCAGTCCTCTATGTTGTTATGGAGGGTGATCAGGTATGTTTGAAATATTGACATCTGTAGTACTAAAAAATAGAATTATTATTAAAACAGTTAGCTATCTGTCATCATAAAGGTTACCATATACCAATTGTGCGTGAGTCAACGTCGGTCTCAATAATTTTTAAAACTCACAATATTCTCATCTTCTCAGTTTACACAAGAGCTTTATTGTATAAATGGAAACCACAGAGAGCAGAGGAGTCCTATTTGACTGTATTTCCAGTAAAATTCACCGTACAATTGAAGCGTGAATCAATCTGTTGTTGATTCAAATCACTGCAAGTGATCAAACTGTAAGCATGGGATTGTATTACGTGTCTGTTGATATCCTATACGGTCAAATAGGATTCCTCTGCTCCCTGTGTGGAAACTAACCGTTTTTAGCGTTTTGCCTAAATTATTAAACAAATAGAAGATTAAATAAATGGATGAGAAAACCGTGCTAACGTTTTGCCCAAATCACTAAACGAAGACTAGATGTTTGTAAACAGATAAAAAAAGTGTTTAAACTCTTTACATGATCCCTTTCAAATGGATACTAAACGGATAGTAAACAGTTTCTACTGTTAAACAGTTAAGCATTGGTGTCCGTTTTTGCTGTGGCTACTGTCCGATTGGATAATTGAATAAAGTTTTCCCTGGTTTTCTGACCAAGTATCCTGGTTCCATACTTCATGCTATTAAATAATTAACACTTGCATACCTGGCAATAATCATTCGCTCTATGCACAACTTTTCTTGAAGCTTCTACACTATTCACAGATTAGTAGATTCATAGATTCATAAACATCTCCACGTGTAACAAGTAATGTCATGTTTATTTGCATTTCCTTAGTTTCCATTGGCTAGTTATTTGATACTTGATGCATGACATTACATGTAGTTGACACCTATTTATCGCTCCCCAAAGGGCAGAAATTGAAATTCAATGGCTTTTTGCAACACACCTGTATGTCTCTTGTCTCTTGTCTCCTGTGGCTTTGCTACTCATGCCCCAGCCCAAACACAAGAGCCTGCTCACAGGCTATTGTAATAATTCAGTTGTGTCCCTAAAAAGGCTGAAAATTTTAAGTAGTGTTTTCAGTGCCTGTACTGCCTGTATTACCTCTGTCTGATGTCCAGTTTGAGTTTTGCAATGTTTCCTCTCCTTGTTGTTTTGTCAGGTACCTCAACAGTCGCAACTTTATACAGCCACTGAAGGTTGTGGTAGCTCCACAGGTAAATAACTGTTGATGACTTTACTTGAATTACTCTTTGCAATATGCAGTGTGTAAATCTCCACACAACATAAAAATTTGAACTTATTGGTCCCATCAGGAACACCTACTTTGCATGTACAGTGCAGGTTGGCAAGGGAAAATAATAAGATCAAAAAAATTAATAAAAATTAAATGTTAAACAAAAATCTTGCGAAGCTGGGCACAATATTATTGTACAGCTGTCTATGTTTTATTCTGTCATGACTGCAATAATATTAAAGAACGCTGTACAAGTGAAACCTGGGAATTATCACTTTGAGCTAGAAGTTTTTACATCCCTTAATTATTGTTCTGAAGTAACTGGATAAAAAGATCTATGTGGACACTGCCAACCTGTAAGGAATGGATTTTTTTTCAAAACAAACTACGTATGTCTGCTGAAACCTGGGATCCACTTGAAACACAAAACTATTGCAAGAAATCAAAGATTGGTGATACAATGAATCATAGTTTTTGTGTGTGTGTGTGTGTTTTTTTGTTTTTTTTTTCGTTTCTTAATTTATTACTCCCACTGATAAAACATGGGTTTTTGTCCACAGAAGAGTTACATGCCATACATATGTATCCTATTAACTAAGAGCGAGGGCCTTACTGGGAGAATATTGGCCCGAGGTCAGCGAGGTTCATACAAAAAAGACCAAGGGTCGATATTCTCGTAGTATGGTCCTGAGCAAGCTTGGTTAATTAGAGATTTATTACAGACTGTAACTACCCAAAAATCTTCAAGAATGATCTTGCAGGATCGTTTGAGACTGTGTCCAGTCCAATACATAGAGAATATTGGACTGGCAATGGAGCAGTCTGATTGGTTGATTTTAGTTATTGATCTTTTCAACTAACTTAGTCATGTAATAATACCTGTATAACGTAAAGTTCTGCAGTGTATTTAAAGTTAAACTCATTGTAGAATGGGACAATCAGATCATAAATCCATTATATTTTTACAGATGGTGAACTGATGCTCTTCCATGAACCAGCTGCCTTAAATAGAGATATTGGAGAGGTAATATCATAATGATAATATGATATATATAGATTACTTTATAGAAAGTGCGACATACAGATTTTTATTCACTAGTTGCAAAACTTTGGAAAATGAACCAGTGAGCGCAGCGAACGAGTGAGTTTTTCAAAGTTTTGCAATGAGTGAATAAAAATCTGTACAAAGCACTTTCTATGCTGTAATTTGTTTATTGTATATATAGCGAGAATTAAACATATCCTTTAAATCAGTTTTATTTTTCCCGATACCCGCCATTAACTAATTAACATGCCAGACAGCAAAACATTCAAGACTGATCTGAATGACCGAGCGTAATAAAAAACAAATCCGCTTTCCAGTCCAGTTAAACAGGCAAACAAAGATCCTGCACAAGCTTAAATACAATATGGAAGAATTCGTAAATACAAAGTGTGAAATATTTTTGATTGTCCCTAATCACTGCCAGATTCAATCATGTAATGGTGACATTTTGCGCTGTGCAAAAACAAATTCAGACTCTGTTGACTTACACTGTTTAAATTTGAATGTTCCCCCTTGAATGTTCATGGCTTCCTGATGCTAAATTTACTTCCTTGGTTTCTTGAATGTCCATTGATTCTGAAGCTGAAGTGCTAGCACTCAAGATGTTGGATACATTCTGCTGCTGTTTTTCCGAAAGTGAATTAAAATGGGAAGCTGAAGCCATGTTTTCGAGAAACAAACTTCAAGCGGGCGCTAATTTCAAGACCGCGCTTCTCGGAAGCCACTTGAGTGCTTCGCTTTGATTGGCTAAGTGGCTCTATTCTGGACGGTGATTGGTTATATTTTTCACATGTGAAGAATGCTGTACGTGAAGCTGATTGGACGTATCGGTTTTTCACACGTGAAAATATAGCACATATAAAATTCGATTTGCAAGGTTTATTGCCTAAAATTCTCTCTAAATATTCAATAAAATATGGTAATATGATATAATCTCTTGTTTAATTGATTTTTCTTTGTTGACTCTGTCCTGTCAATTTAAAAGCAATGATGTTTTCTGATGTTGGATGATTTTTCGTATCAACACCTCAACAATTTTTTAATTATAAGTATGAAAGAACGGTAACCACCAGTGGATAAGCCACACTTGTAGATAAGCTGCACCCCAAGATTGACAACTCAAATTTCGGAATAACAATATTGAAGTATCTCACTGTTNCATTCTTGAGTAGCAGCTATTGTCATTAAATCAGAGTTCTGAGTTCATTCCTTCCAAGTTTTGCCTCTGCCTCTGTGGATTTGCAGCAAATCATGTATACCTCCTGTAAACTTCTCTGCACACCCACATTGAAAATATGCATACTCTATACCGTGGGTATTAGCATTTTAACCCCTCCCTTTCCTTCTGAAATTCCAAAGTCATTACCCCCCTCCCTTCCAGATTTATGTTTCTTATTTCAATTCTCTGGAATCCTAGTTTGACTCCCTACAACTTCCAACAAAAGAGATTTTATGCTTTTACATCTTCCCAGAAGTTTACCTTGACTGTCTACCTTGCTTGAAATTGTCAGCGGTGTCATCAGTGCGTTTGTGCTTTCACACCCTTGTTTGTCATCTCTAGAATCCCCTTCCCCCAATGCCCTTGGAATTGCAATCCTAAGTACCCCCATGCCTTTGGATTTCCAGTTCAAAGAACCCCCCTTGCCCTTGGAATTCCAAAAAGCCACCCGTGGTATTACGGTATGGATATTTTCTGGAATCGCCTACTACCTTTAGAATTGTGTTTACATTAAGTGGCAATACAGCATTATGGCAGGTTTGACTGTCACAATTTTTGAAAACTTTCGTGTATTTTTTGAAACCTGTTTCATGACAGATGGGGTCTGACACTTCAGAAGACGTTTTCTCTTCTACCGACAATGCCACAACCAGTGGAATGGTATCGGGTAGTGATCTCGAATGTTCAGAAGGTTGGTGTATGGTATATATTTATATATATACACACTGTATGACCTTAAACTTTGCACATACATGTACATGTATGTTGTCTATGAACAAGCTCCTTGTTGGAGTATTGTGTTTTTGCCCTAGCCAGCCTACATGCCTGTTCAAAAGCCAAAACTAACATAATGTAGTAGCCAAAATGTTATGTACATGTATAGGCTTGATTTGGCTGCTGACCTTTGCTTAGTTTTTGTATGGATCAGAAGTATTGTAAATTTGGCATGTTTTATTGCAAAAAGAGAAAATTGACGGTAGTTTCATGTTATGACTAGCAGCGACAATTTTTCATAACAATCCAAGAGGGAAAGGTGCAATGAGGTTAACCCCATGTTAAGCACCAATATATCTGATACAAGTGATGAGATAGATAAAGTAAATGTCTCCCTGTATTTGTGTAATGGAGTAATTTAAGTAGGTTTATATTAGCCAAAAATATATCTGTCTGTATTTGGAAAAACATAGCCACAGAATCTGAATTGTCACTGAAAATCTTGCTACAATTCTGTCCTAGAGCTAGCTTGCNACAACAGCTCACGATCACACGATTCAAAAATATAGTGATTGTAACTTCTTGTCTTGTTACGCGGCTTTTTTCACCTTCTCTCGGTTTTAGAATTAAACGCCAAGAAGTTCTTGTGAAGCGGACAGCTTGCCACAAAGAAGTCCTTGCGGTTTCAATTTTTAACAGCAAAGAAGTTCTTGCTCCTGCTGAATAATTTAGCGCAAGATTAGTGACCCGCAAGTAGCCGCAAGAAGTTGCCGGCTTGTGGACGCAAAGAGAAGTTCTTGCGCATGCATTATTTTCGGGCTCTACTATACTTAATGCTTTCATGTAGGTTTTTTATTATCACTGATCAAAGTTATGGACCAAGATTTCCCTACTTAAATTAATTTGCAGCTTAAGCGTGGAGGACGTGGGCCCTCCACACCAACAAACAAGGATCCAAACAAGGATCTGCAACTTTCAGATCTGCAAGATCTCCAAGGATCTGCAACTTTCAGTGCCAGTTGTAAAAAGTCTTGTCTTTGCAAAATTAACAACTATTTTTATACTTTCCCAACACTGACAAACAGAAATAAACTTATTGGCTTTGGTAAATATAGTACATGTAAGGGCTCCTAATACTTGAAGTTATTTATTAACTTACATGTATGAGTCTATGCATCACATCCAGGAATCAATTGTCCATGAACATTTCACGACTTGTTAACTAAATAAAGTTGCTTTTTCTGCCTTTTGCAGGGTGGAGGTCCATGTTGTTGCACGATTGATGCAAAATTGTTAGACGGAGTTACCTCAGGGCGTGCTTTCATTGGACAGTTAGGCACAGTTGACCTGCTACGATTGCCTGATGGTTCCCTACTTTTTTACTTCCCAGGTTTGTTGGCACCACTAGCACTAATTATTACTAAATAGTAGACTCGTTTCTCTACCTTGCTTGATTATGGGAGGATCTTATGGTGGCTGGTCCCTGTGGGTGGCTTCCTCCATCCATACAGTAAGCATCACCTCACTGCATCTTTTCTTCTATTGGGAAAACATCAGCTTGATGATGGTAGCAATGCAGCTGTGACCATTTGGCTCTGACTCAAAGTCATCCTACCTTGAATAGTGGTATATATGAAGGAAGGTACTACAGTGAAATGCTGTTAAGGTGGCCAGCAAATCTGGCTGTATTAACAGTGTCCTTAATAATGAAGTGACTGTATTAACAGGATGACTGTGAAGCGGGGTTCCACGAAACTACCATATGAGGTTTGTCATGTAGTTTACCTAGCGCACTTAGCTGACACTGATACACGTCAAACGAAGAAGTGTCGAATGAATGAGTGTCAAAATGAGAAGTGATTTCCTCAGTATATTCAATGACCATGGTGTTCTCTGTTGCTTTTTCTCTTTGTTAGAACTCATAACAGTCGTAATGATCAAAATAGCTCAAGTGTTCCACCTAAATAAGCGGAAAGATTATTTGTAAATTAATGATTGTTGTTAAATTTTGCTGTGCCACACAACATACAAACTCCTTAAGATCGTTTTGACCACCCTTGTAATATGTATAGCATATTTCAAAATATCACAAGTTGGTTTAAAAAGCAGTTTTGAAAACTGATGGACTACTTGTACACATCACCACCTGGCAGTGACTTTGCTTCAATTACTATTCTGCTCATTTGTATTTGCACCCAGTTTCCAGTTTCCAGAGAGTGATTTGAAATTTTCTTTAGTCCAAAAATAAACGCAGTGATTGAGTGATAAAAAAATAACAAGATGTGTTTTTCTTGCCGGCTGAGCTTGCGAAAGAAGCCAGAAAGGAAGTTCTTACAAAATCTTTATTATGTGTCGATGTCTTGTACATGGAAGAGATGGGATAATGAGTTGCTTGTTAAAGCATTTTACAAGAAAGATTAAAAGTAATGTCAATTGACGTTTTGATGCATTATTCTCAAGATTGAGGTCGGAAAAAACCCATACTTATGTGGGGACTCAAAAAAGAAACAAATTGGAAAATATTTAAGACTACATGTATATAAACAGTCTAATAATAATATAAAATCTAATACTAGTTATACTGATCTAGTAAACTAACAGTAGTTGATCTGATGATAAAGTAATATTTAACAATTATCGTTTGAAATCGAGGTGAATAGTGACAGAATGTTCACCGAGATTGAAAAGGATAATTGTTTTAGTATATACACACGAAGTGATCTCAACAACAGATGATCTCAACATTTTCAGAAGGAAACCATTAAAAGTCAATTTAATTGACCTCTCAACTCATGCGTGGAACTGACGTGCAAATGGTACAAAGCATGCGCGAAGCTATTTACCGAATCTTCAAACATAAAAAATCTGGTTAATCTTTGATAAAATCCTCGTCACAATCTAGCAAAATGCTCCTTTAACACCGTCCAATCAGCAATTTAAATCAAAAGTCTGCTTGCAGAACATTTGCAGTGTTTTCATTTCGCTTGAAATGAAAACTGACAGAGTAGTTGGCGAAGGATCAACCTGAAATTATACCATGTGAGCA